ATATGTATATATATACACACACACTTTATTTTGGTGCTGCTTTATAATCCATAATATTTAATAGGAGGCGATGTAGACCATAGGTGTACGCGATCATTGTTCTAATATCTCTCAAGTATCAAGCACAACAAACATAAAAAGCATGAAGCACAACATGTCATTGGAGTATTGTGTGATAAAACAAAAACTATCTCACATGGCTTACACATATGAGGTTCACAGAGTAAGTTTCTACAAACTATAAGCCACAATTAATCAGAGATTAATATTTTTTCTAATAGTATGTCACTGTGTAAAGATCCAGATAGTGCCCATGCCAGCATTGAAAACGGTCTTTAAATAGGTGTGATCCAGATTACACAGGGGGGTGTTACCCACAAAGAGAACATTCTGTAGAGCAGCTTGAAGTCTGACACTTGGGGAGCATGTATCCAGTCCTGTCCTTGCTATGTACATGCTGCTAAGCCAGATTGATGTCTCAGATTTGGAGCTTGTGGTAGTCCCTGTCTAAACAGACTGGTGTCTAAAACAGTAGCAGTCTGCATGTCAGCAGAAAACAGGTCCAGTCTGGTGACTGAAGGATCTAGTTGAGCAGAAAGTCTGAGACTGGGGCAGCTCTGTCCTAAATAGGGATGTGCTTGGTGTAAATACAGTTTGCCTGAGTTCGCCCCAGCCCACTTGAAACTTGAGACTCCCAGCCAAATCAGTGGCAGCAGGCACATTCCTTACCCTGCAGCTGCATATTACAAAGGGACAGGGAATGCCCTCACCACAACTGCTGCCACTGATTGGGCCAGGTGTTGGTCACAGTCTTGAGCAGGTTTGGGCGAACTCAAACGAACTGGGTGTGCACCAAAGCCAAGCTCATAACTAGTCCTAAGGAGGAATAGAAAAAATGTGTAAAAAAAAATAGTCCAGATACTAAAATCCATTTGTGTTTGTTGTTTTGTGAAACAACCTCAGTGTGGGCCTGCAGCAAAATAACGTCAGGAGAAGTTTATTTTGCCCAATGCCTTGATGAGTTGTCAAGTCAATGAGACAAATGAATGTGCAAACTATATCCCCTAAATTTCCCCCAAAACATCCACTAAGTGATGACATAACACAGAGCGATTAAAAAGACTTAAATCATATGGCACAAAAAATGCATCACACTAAACAGGGACAAAAGAGTTACCACCTAAAAATAAAAGTGTAGATGATGACTCATTATATTGATTTTGTGGTTTAATAAAAAAATAAATAAATGAAAAAGGGTTAAATTATACAAAAATAACAAATACAAAAATAATTAATTTCAGAAGTACTCAAATGCAAAATTGCTATTGTGAGACACATCCATCCATACTGGCTGAGTCAGGGGAACCACAGAAGAAAATGGATTCAGTAAGCTACAACCTACAGTACTACAATGGTAAACAAAAAAAGGGAAACATTAACCACTTCCACTGCACATAGACATATGTATGACATCATACAGTGACCCAAGGTAAAGTGCTGGGCCAGTGCAATCTGCAAGAAATAGAAATAACAGCTGCCCTCAATTAGGCCTTTTGCTTTTTGGTCCACGGAAAACTGAAGGGGAGGGAGGGGCACTGCAAAATGATTAACCTCATGTGATTCAGTCACAATTAGCACAGTGAAACAAATGAAGATTTTCATTCACTTCATGATAATGATAAATAAATCTGTTCTTCCATTGAGAAGCAAAGTAACTCATGCAACATGCCAATACAAACTGTATAGGAAGAATAGGAAGAGATTAGTGCAGGGATTGTGGACACTGACAGATCTATTAAAGTGTTTTTCCACTTTTGCAGCCAAATTGGGATAACACCTACCTTTTTATTTGTTCAATTTTACATATGAAATGATTATTTCCA